AAGGAACTTTTCTTCAGGTGAGGCTTCATAAGATTTTCTGTGCTTCATAGGTTGTCATTAATTCTTTTAAACTACAGAAATTAAAACACAGGCCACAGCTATTCAGAACAAAACTAGATGTGTGCCTTCAGGCACTGGGTGGCTGTTCACAACATGAAATACAAATATTCCCAGTATGGGAGAATGTAGTATTTTTAACTTTTCACCTTACTTGCTTAAATGATAGATTGGAGAAACTGAATTCTTTGGTAAATGGTGTAGCAGACAAGCTAGCGTTGCTTTCTGTGTTTCCCTGTGTGACACTCTCCATCGTCCTGTTTATTGCCATTCTTGTTGAAGTTTTACATTAAAATTCTTATATTGTGAACATTTTTGCATTTTATGTGGATAAACCTAAGTATGACTTTTCCTTTAGAAGTGCAGATACAAACCTCCCAGAGGGTATTTTTCTTGCCCTCACCTCCAGTGTTTTAATGGTTTGGATCCACATTGGGAGGACAAACAGGCCGCACCCCAGTTCCAGCACCCTGTAGCATCTTGCAGGCTGGAGAGGTGGTGCATCGGTGTCTGAGAACAGGACTGGGATTGGGGTTTAGATAAATGCTCAGTGCGAGAGCATGTAGTAGCAATCCTGACCTGGAGAACATTGTACATGGAGGAGTCGGTGATCCACACATCACCTAACCTGAGTGGGCCCAGGGCTGTGCTGGACTGCTCTGTGCTGCTTGTACAGAGTGGCCTTCAGGATTATCCCTTGACCACTGCATAAATTTATCTGGTTGATTATAACAGGAGCCTGCAGGCAGCCCCCACTTGCTACTGGTGGTGGCACCACTTGTGTGTCCTTGTCTTTGTACAGAAGTGCAGCAAGAAGGTCTCCTGTGAACATCATTTTTGTTTGACAGTGGAAGTGATGAATGGAACTGTTTTCTCCTAAGAGAATCTTGTAATAGCTCAAATGACTGAAATGGAGTAACCTTTGCATAGGTGGGATCTGCACAACTTGTTGCACCCTGATCATACATATACCTGTTTGGTGCTGCACAACTTGGGGTTCCTAGCATCTGAAGGGATATAAAATTAGCTATGCCTTCCTCTTTCTTTATAGCTTTAATAAATAACATTTTAAATGAGGCACTATGAAGTCCAAGTGCCTTTCTTATTGGGGTGATAACAAACCAGCACCACCTGGTGGAAAACATATATGCTTTGGTGTTTCAGTTTTGCTTCTGTCAGTAAGGCAAGAATAACATCCTATCATTAACTAAGAGGGTTACTGATCCTAAGGAGCACTTCTTTCAATATGTATTTTAATTACAGTTTGCAAATGAAAACCTTCTTTTATAAAGAGTAGTTTTAGATCTCTGAACACCAGTTTTTACTGAAAGCTTGCTTTGTATCTGAATGTCTGCATTTTATGACTGGAGCTTTTAATTTAAGCCATAGTACTGATAATTTGCAAGGTTCTTCAGTAGTGCCTTGCTTCCACAAGAATGGTGTATAATTATATCCCATAACTGCACAGATTACCAAACTTCAGAGCCAAGGAAGTGTTTCTGCTTTGTAACTTGAAGTAAGGTGGTACATAAAATGCCCAGATTGTGAATGTGCATCCCAGTAGATGGGAAGGGAGCTGTGGTTCATTCTTAAAGAGGTGGCTTGTTGCTCTAAATGTCAGTCCTAACTACTTCTGTTATTTCTGTAAAACACTCTGGAAGGGACTTTTTTTTTTTCCCCGCCCTTTCTCTGCCACTGACCACCTGGCATGACTGCTCTCCCAGAAGTGTCCCTTCCCTTGAAAACTAGTGTCAGTTTTAATTGTTTGCATTCCAGCTACAATTTGTGTTCATTCTCATGCTTTCACAGCAACAATTTTGTGCAGATTTGTTTTTTTCCTATCTGGATGATTTTACCAATGAGCAAATGAAAATGTTGGCAGGAAAATGTCTTTCTGAATCCTAAGCAATGAGCTGACAGGCTTGTGTGCTCTCCCTGACATTTCTGGTAGCCTACATGCATGTATGCATAAGGGAAGGAAGAGGGAGCAGGGAGAAGACATCATAAGAATGTCTTTCAGAAATGTAAAATGAAACCAGGTACAATTTTTTCTCACTTTTTAAGTCCATCTTTCATGCTTATCCTTATGCTAAGCATCCACGTATTCACTGATGCTGCTTCCTACTGCTTTTACCCTGTTGCAACCTGCATGCACCCTGCCTTTCCTCCCTGTTCCATCTCACACAGGGTCTTTCGTGACATCTCTGGATTTCCCCACTGAGTGAGGAGATGTGTGTGCTGCTCCTGCTCCAGAAAGACAAGATGATGACAAGGAAGCTCAGATGTACTCTGGCAGCAGTGGGAAGAGAGACAGTATGACAGATTGCATGGAGTTGTGTGCCCTGCTGTTTTACAATAAGAAGGTCTGGGACTAAGGGCAGCGTCTCACGCTGTTGCTTCAACTGGTGGCTTTTCCATTAGGTGAGACTTGCAGAAGGAGTTGTGAAGGCATCAGTGCTGTTGATGAAGGGGAGGGCCTTTTTCATTAGTTCAGAAGGCTGCCTGGATGGGAAATGAGACTGCATTTGCAAATGAGGAGGAGTGTGAGAGGTTTATCTTTTTTGAACGTATGATAGCTCATAAAGCTGGTAGGTTGTCTTGGTTTGGGGCTTTTGTTTGTTTGTTTGTTTTAAAAAAAAAAAAAAGAAGCCTCTGCAGGGAGCCTAGTTCTGATGAAAGAGAGATGCATAAACTTTTCCTTGAGGGATATGAAAAACATTTGGAAATTAAAATGATTCTTCTGTTGCTACGGGCAGCACTGTCGCTGGAACAGGGGTAATCATAAAGTTAGTTGCTAGATATCTTGCAGCTTTTGACATCTTTGCATGTTTTAAACTTGTTAAAAATGGTGTTAAGTGTGGCAAGTGTCCTTTACAATATCTCTGGCTGAGATTCTAATTATGACAACGAAAAAGAAACTGGCTATACTACTGTGTCTCTCAGTGCCTGAAGATAATTTAAAGTCACTACATTGTTTGAGTATATAGGTAACTCATTTTTTTGAAACTTGCAATGTTACTGTTCTAGTACTTGTAGAGAAAGTTGTATCCTGGAAAACTGCTCAGTTTGCGAAAGCATTATTTTGCAGTAGATTTGCTTCCTATCTAGAAAGTCCTTAATCTTTTTTGGATCGGTATGCCACAGTCAGAGAGGCATGTGGGGTGGGCTCTAAATGCACCACAGTCAAAGTGGGGTACTAGGTGTAGTGACTGAACAGGCTGGGTGCTAGTGGACAAAACAGAGTCATAAATGGTATATGATCCTTGCAGTTACCAAGGCCTTGCCTCTCCAGTCCATATCCAAGGCTCTCAAGTCACTGGTGCAGCATAGAGCACAGCTTGGCTACAGAATCTTGCCTGCTTGGTGTTCAGGCCAGTTTTCAAGATATATTGGAATTCCAGCACATTTTACACACAGATTTGTCTACAAAATTTGCAGGTATGTTACATGAGGTACATGGAGAACAGATAGGCTCCTAGTCTGTTAGAAAGTGCCTCAGCTTTTGCATTCCCCGTATGAAGCGGGACTGGTTCAGGTCTCTGAAACATTCCTATGGGGCAGGGAACAGGTCTTCCAGAGAGCCCACGATAACAGAAAGGGAAGTATTGCTCAGAAAAGTTGATGATTCTGAATATATATTTGTGGGGGGTATATTTTCCTCTGGTGGAACAGCTGCTGTTGCCACACCTTTTCTTTTAGTGTCTGTTAAAGCCAGACCGGATTAAAAAAAAAAGGCATGCATTGTGCAGATCACTACAGAAACAGCTTACACAGTAACAACTTGATTGATAGGCTTTATAAATGATTGTGGCACTCATCCTGGAGTAATTACCTGGCGAATTAGGAATTAAGAGCTAAGGTAAGCAGGAACTTTATTGGAATATGATTTTTTTCTCTCCTGTTACCTGAAACGTGTGCCTGCCTTTTGAAGCACTGCCTAAAGGCTGATAACTTCAGCTGAGGTTAGTCATGTTCCACTGGGATTCTTCTTCCAGTAGGGTTTCAGGGAATTTGCATACAGAACATTGCAGCAAGGTAAGAGCTGCCAACAGCTACTGCAGAACAGGTTGCACTGACAGGATGCACACAATTTTCCACTTCCACAGCCTAGTTTTGGAAGATCAATGATTAACTGGGGAAAGGAAGCTAATGCTGAAGATCTGAAGGAACTCCTACTTAAGCTGATGCATGTAACAAGAAGAGTTGGAGTCTTAAATGTGGTGGAATTGCAAAATATGTAACAGAGCTGAGGTAAAAGCTAGCATAACAAAGCAGTGTGTTCTTGTGGTGTTTTCTTTCTTCTCCACGACAAAGCCCCTCATTTTTTGCTTGCTATGCTCTTACTCCTGAGAGCAGAATGTACCAACATGCCAGTGCTCCAGCAAACTCAATACCCCAAATGTATTTCCTCTACTAGACAGGAAAAATAAAACACAAAATACTTATCTCTATTCTGGAATTAATTTTATTCAAGTTATCATCTTTAGTGAATCAAGCCATACTGCACAGTTTCAACTTCTGAACAAGCTTAATTAAATCTCACTTAAAAGCTTTTTGGTTTTCAGTGGGAAAGCTGTTTAATAGTTTTTAAATGAAGATTTATCGTTGTCCCGGTCCTTTGGGACAGAGTTTTAGAGTAAGTTTTCTGCTGAGGAAAGCTGCAATTTTATAAGGACTCCAACACTATTTTCATGGGATCAAAGTTGATAAAAACTTTCTAAGTTTCAGCTAATGCTAGTATGCAGATTGCCATAGTGGTCAAGGCCTTCAAGGTCTTGCAATAGAGTTGCAGAGGCTGTGGGAGAATGGAAACCATTTTATGATTATCAACACACTTTTCCACCCACTTGTCAGAGATTATTTTCCTGTGCAGCATGTGTGCCTAACAGAAGTGCTCTACTGAAGAATAAACAGGAATCAGCTGAAAAGAAAGCCAAACTAGCTCAAAGTACAGTTTCCCTGACAACGCCAATAACGCTGTGAGGCCGTTCATGCTCCGCTTTCCGGATTCTCCTCTCCGCTGGCTGATGAGCTGTGGTGAAAGTGCTCAGGTCACCACAGCTCTCCAGGTGCATCAATTCAGGATGCTGTCTCAAACGCAATACATGGGCACTCAATGACATGGCTTGCTGGGCAGGTGCCATCACCTGTGAAAGGAAAAAACTATGTAAGTCAAATTAGTCTTCAGGCTCTTGTTCCATTAAAACAGTTCCTTACCCAACTAGGAAGAAGCTAGTTGTAGTTCTGTCTGTTATTTTTTAAGAATAATTTAAAAAGCTAAGACTAAAACTGCTAGTTGTCAAGGAGGCATGGGAAAAGTAATCCTAATTGGGAAAAGGAGTGAGTGTTGTTGTTGTTGTTGAGGTTTTTTGGGTTTGTTTTTTTTTTAATAAAAGCTGCACAAGAATTAGCACCATGGCACATCAGGTGTTGCTTAAGAGGAATATAAATGCTGTTTCCTGCATAAGCCACTGGACTGTAATAAGCTTCAGGCCAGTGTGATTAATTAAATTCTCATAAGGTTTTGGGGGTTTTTTTGTCAGCTGTTTCTGTCAAATTTGTTGAGGATTGTGTTGCCTGTAGGCTGCAGTGGGAAATCTCACTTTATCTGCAGAACCTAAATTACAATCTTTGATGTGAGAATTTTTGTGTGAGAACTCAAGCCAAAACCAGATGTCACAGCAATTCACTTGTATGATGCATGAATCAGATCATCTATACAAATCATTTGTAAGCTACCAAAACATTTGTTTGATCAAGTCTGCAATGTCTGAAATTTCTGGATATTCATTCCATTAATGTAAGCACATATTTTCTACTTTCTGCTTTTTTTCCTTTAATACTAGGTCCTATTTTTATCCTGTAAGTCAACCATGAAATGTTGCTTCTAGCAGGTTTACATAAAAATTTTCCTTTTCAACCTCCACTCCTTCCATTTTATAATAGTAAATGTTTTATATCATCTCTTACCTCTCTCCTGCCATGTTTAGTATAAAAAACTGTCATGTTATTTACAGTTCATGATCCTACCACAGAAGACCATCTCCTTCAGCTTTTAAATACACGTGTTCAGACTTCTGAAAACTTGCCTGGCCGTGTGTTTGGCAGAGCAAGAGACATCATAGCTGCATAGCCTCCAGCACACTCCCTAAATAAAACTAAAGGACTGAAGGAAACTAATTGGGTTCAAAAGCTTTGACACACAGAGCAGAGTGGCAAATGTAAACCTATACTCCCAAAACAAGGTCAGCTTGGGTTTCCACATCACCCAATAAAAGCAAGCAATAAAACTACCTGCTCAAGGAAGGTGGCACTGGTGATAGCTTCTGCCATATGTTTCTCATCTGATTTTAAAACAGACTTGATATCTTCCACCAATTTGTCTACGTCAGGGCTCACGCTGCAGGACTGCTCTAGGATCCACTTCACAAGGCGTTTAGTGTCTGTGTAAGACTTGTAGTCTACCAAAGATCGTGGTCTTCCCCTCAAAACTCTTCCTCTCAAACTCTTCCTCAAGGTGACAGCACAGAGCTGTGGCTTTCTGTCAGTCTGCGTGGCAGCTTCACAGCTGAGCACTGTCCCTGAAGACAAAGATCAAACAAAGCAATCAACCCACAGTACGGTTGTATCCTCTGAGATTTCAATCCTGATTCAATGATGATGCAGTGCACACTTCAACCGTGTAAAACTTAACAGCCTGGCATGATCAGGGTGGCATGCAAGGCTCACTCTGTACTGGATTTACACTAGAGAAAATGCCTGTAAAACAGAATGGTACATAGCCATGGCAGAGTGGCTATCATGTGTGAAAGGGTCTGGAGGGGCATTTCTGGGAAAGCTATTTGATATTGTATGTACATCTGTTCCTTCCTCTTTTGCTCCTGTTCTGAATAGACCTGAAATGAGCACTGAGTGTTAATGTTAACATTTATTTATGTAAAGCAGGTTAAGCAAATCTTGAAGGGTTTTAGGATCTCTCCTGAACTCTTTGTAACTTTCAGTTATTGCCAGTCAAGAGGACCAGTTACAAAGTATCTGAAAATACTAGCTACCCTAGCAAGCAATTAATTTTAAAAAATTAAAATTTAATGGAAAAAAAAAAAATCAAAATTACCTTGCAAGACTAAACAAGGGACAGCAGGGAATCAATTCCACTGCCTTTGGTCCAAATAAGAATCCACTGTCATTGGACTAAATAACAACCATCAATTTTTGGCCCAGTTACAAAAAATAAATAAGACCACCTATAGGTTGTTCAAGAAGCACTTTAATGCTGGCTTTACACCAAACACAACAATAGCAGGAGAAAATCCAATGCTTTCCAGCAAGAAGAACACTGACAAACTTGAAGTAATTTTGGTGGTTCTGTGGCAGCCAAGTTCCCTTTCGGCAGCACTCACGTATTTAACTCTCAGGCTGAGTGCTGAACAGACCTAACTCCAGCTGCACCCAGCCTAAAGCACCCAAGTGCTTCTGACTGATGGGGTCTCTCCACAGCAGAGGCACTCAGCATGGCTCAGGTCTATGAACAGGCTCTATGTCACGTAACTATGCTTTAGCAGCAGATTTCCAGGGGTGATGTGGAGGAAGTTGATAGGAGGAAACGAGAAAACACATGATGTAGCAGAGACATAAAAACATTCCACAAAAAATATTAAGTGTATCCAGATAGGCATGCTCCCATTATTCAAAATGAATGGTTGCTACCAACATGTCCCCCACCGCTTACATTTTATGAGTGCTAATACATACCAGCAGCTACTATGCAGATTACAATAGCCTCTAATAAAAGCTGCAAGACTCTTGACTAGTGGGTTTTTGAGACTATCAACAGAATCAAGGACTCGGCAACCACACTTTTTTTTTTCCACAGCAACTGCATTGGATCACTGACACTAAAATAGATGTAACAGACTATCAGCTCTTCACTGTGAGTTTTTGTGTTGAGATTTCAGGGTTTTTTGATGCTATGAGGCGTGAGAAGAGGGGTGAAATTTTATAGGTTAGCACCAAATACTAAAGCTAACTTTGCTTTAAATTGCTCACATTGACAACTGCCCTTCCAAGCTTTTAGATGTCAGTGTACAAATACACTGAAAAATCGTATGTGCTCCCTCCACCCCTTCCTCCTCCGCAGACTATCAATGCCTGGTACAGATCCTGTTCCTAGATGTGAATGCCTAAAAAGCCGCAAGACTGAGGTGCTGGGTGAGAAAGATCTGGCAAAGAACAAACTATTTGCTGCAATGTAAGTAACTCTGACAGGAGACAGCAGCTGATTTCCGCAGGTACGAGGTTCAAGGTACTAACCTCACGAATGTTCTTTTAAGGACTCAATACGTAAGTACAGATAGAGAAAATCAAGTCACCTTGAAGCACGTGGCTGTACAGCACAGGGTCACTTTTAGACCTTCTCAGCAAGGAATTGAAGGTTCTCCTGCCAGCTCCTTCTGCGGGCACCACACTTGCATTTGAAGGTGAAAGGCTCACTCTGCTGGAAGACTCAGGAATTTCTTCACCTGAGTAATCGGGAATAGTAAAGGTGAAGGAAAAGTATTCAGAATAAAGCAGATCTGTAGGAGCCATTATTAGAGATTATTACTGATTTATATTTTTGTGTGTGTGTAGCACCCCTTCCACCCCCTGCAAATCTGTATTGATTGGACACAGAAGCCTAGAGGTGCATTTGTGCATATGCACACACTCACCAGTAACACTGGTCTAAAGACTGCTTAAAACATTTGCAGAAACCTGTTCAGCCTTATACAGCTGGAGTAGCAAAAAAATACAGCTTTGCCTAGCGTAAACATCACCTTAAACTACCTAGTCAGAGAGAAGGGAGCTACAGCTTTCTTGAAGAGAAAACTAGATCTCACAGAGCCTGAACTCCTCCTGCATTTAAGCAGTTGTAGCAAGATATGACAGCACACAGCCACAGAGATCAATCACTGTTTGCAATTAGGTAGCTTGTGAATCAGTTACCAGTTCCTATAAAGGAATGAGATTCTTTATTAATATGAAGATTTTCTGGAATTCTTGTGATACACATCATCTTTCTAATTAATCGATATTCCTCCTTTTCCTTAAGGTGAAGTTATATGCTGTGATTCCCACAACTGCTTTGTAGTGAACAGGACAGAATGAAGCTATGTATTTCTTACTAGGCCTGGTTCTGTGTCTCCATCTGATGGCACCTGCCATGTTACAGGAGACAAAGTTCTTGTTCACGCAAGAGCAAAAAAACAAATTAATGTAAACAGTCTCTTATTCAGAACACAGCAAACATTCATGCTTCTACTCTAACAAAAATGTGCAGTGACTGGAGCACTCAAGAAAATTAAGGCTTAGACAATATGCATTTGTTGAGCATAGCAAATTACCTCCTACACAAATGCAACCTAGAATCTCTGAAGAGAAGAGATAGTGACAAAACCTATATAAGGTAGATATCAGCCTGTAAAGTCAGAAGATAAGAACCAGCAACAAAGCACAGCAGACCACGAATCATCAGGATTAAACAATCAATCATCAACATGAACTATCTAACAGCAGTGGAGCTGTGCTAGCAGTCAGCCCTTGTGCAGGGCTGCTGGTACTCTGGAGAAGTTGGCCTTTCTAAAAATACTTAACAGATGAATGACCCAATTTCATGATCTTTTGATAATAATATTGATGTTTCAGACATGAGAGAACTGACTTCAGCTGGTATGTACTGGAAATGCATATACCTAGTTTGTGACGATACAGAGCAGCTGCCAAGCATCTCTAGACATAAGTAGAAGGTTGTGTAACTTCCTACTACAATCAGCAGGGCAAGTCCCATTTTCCTTGACAGGAGTGCCTTTGAAGCCAGTAAAACCATTTTAGCTGGCACAGAGAAGCTTACAGGTCCTCCTGAAGCTGGCAGCTAGGACTCCTCCAGTTCTGCTGGCAGAGAGTAGTGTGAAGCTTTAACTTCCGTTGAGAGCTACACTTAGTCAATCAGTCCTGATGATGCCAGGGGAATTATGGCATCATACACAAAAGCCCTGGCATGACAAGACTACCAGCACAAGCTGAAAGTTCAGCTTTTATTTATAGACTGTTACTCGACATCAGCTGAGATAGCCCAGGGAGCTACTCTGCCACAATTCCAACACATCCCCTCATTTTGTATCTCCCTCCTGCTGTGGTTGAACCCCAGGAGCCTACTCAGCCCCACACAGCTGCTCACTCACTCCCCCCAGCAGGACAGGGAGGAGAATTGGAAGGGCAAAAGTAGAGAACCTGTGGGTTAAGAGAAAGACATTGCAGGAGGTGGTGGTGGGGAAACAACAAAACAAACCAAAGGAAAACAAGTGATGCAAAAGCAATCACTCACCACCAGCTGACTGATGTCTAGTCAGTCCCTGAGCAATGGCAACCTTGGAAAACTCCCTCCAGGTCTTTATTGTTGAGCATGACATTACATGACACGGGACATCCCTTTGGTGTATTGGGGTCTGCTGTCCTGGCTGTGTCCCCTCCCAGCCTCTTGCCCACCCCAAGCCTACACACTGTGAGGTGGGGACAGAGTAAGAGATGAAGAGAGCGTCAATGCACTGCAAGTACTGCTTAGCTAAAGCAAAAGCATTGGTGTGCTATGAACAGTCTTGGACACAAATCCAGAACAGCACCTTATGGGCTGCTATGAAGAAAATTAACTCCATCCCAGCCAGATCAAATATAACTTCTCAAATATAAATAAAGATACTGCTCAACATACATCTCATTCTTAAATTCAGTGTCCCTAGGAAGCCTTGGCAGCAATGTTAATGTGCTTTATTAAGATGCTCACTTTCTTATTTATCTGAATTTAACAGTCAGACTGAGATTTAAATGTCTCTTTACAGGCCTTTTTGTTAAAAAGATGGGGAGCAGGGTACAATTTATCACATGTGCTCAGGTCTGCTTGATTTTAAATACAAACAATACCTCAAATAATGCCTCATCATAGCTTCCCCCCTCCCCTGTTTTTTGGTTTTTTTTTTTTTTTTTTTTTAACTTTCCCAACTCTCCTTCACAGCAGTTGCATTTTCTAAGGTACTGCTTTCCTGTTTTCTGTTCTCATGACTTCAAGCAATCTTCCAAACTTCTTTCTGGTTATCACAACTGATGAGAAATTAGAAGCATCCAAGTTCTTGTTTTCAGAGGTTTCAGGTAGACTGCCAGAGTGTAAGGGAACTCTGAAAGATTTACTGTTTGTTTACAATATGGCTTTATATAAAGAGGATTTTTTTTCCCCTGCCAGAGAAGGGGGAAAATTTCACTTAGGAGGGAAAATTTCAACTTATAAACTTCATTAAGTTTTCCTATAGCTTGAGAAACAGGTTGGTAGAAGAGAAGCCACTGTTAAATAAAAGACTGGGGCTTTCCCCCCTTTCAAGTGTCTTTATTTTTTATATTCTTTTGGTATCTATACAGTATCTTATTCTATATATGCACAGATAGGCATACAACCATCTGTTGCACAAAAGACAATCTGCTCCATAATGGCAAGTTCAAATGAAAAGTAGAACAGATTTTCACCAGGACTGTACAGGAAAACCTGCCTGTGACTTATCTGGGAGCCAACAATGCGTAACCACAAGGGTACACCGCTTGCAGCGCAACAAACACTATTGAATAAAACTTGGAGCCATTTCCATTATTTTCTGAAACAATGCTGAACAAAGTGTGATGTGACCTGCACATGTAGTCTTGCTACACAAAGAACACCTGTACCAGTAAGCAGAAACTATTTGATGCAGGCTGAATAATAGAGTAATTCCCACATTTAGCTCACAGTACAGAATTATTTTATCCTTTTCCTATTTTAATCAGCAACAAAATGCATACAACCGGCACAATCATGCATACAAAACAAATGCAAGCACTGGAGCTGGGCATTATTTCTTATAATGCACGCACATAGAGTCAACAACTAACTTGTAGATTACTAAGGAGGAAATAAATATTTATTTTTGTATCTTAAGAGCAAACAACTTCTTCTGTCTTTTAAACATTAATCTCTGTTCCTAGTGCCTCAAACAATCACAGTTCCGTATCGCTGGCTTCTAGAATGGTGGCTGTCTCTCAAAGAAATAATGCTGCTGCTGCTACATTAAATTATCTGGGTCAGGTAGGACTGATTTTACAATGTACTTTTTACCTTGAGATGCCTGTCTGTCACTCACTTCCCCCGAATTAACAGCTTCCACAACACCTATTTGTAATGGATCCTCCTGGAACAAAATAGAAAAGTTGAAAAATCACAAGGCACCACCTTTTTTCTGTTACTTTTCTAAAAACTGCAACAACCACCTTAGAAAGTGAGAGCTTTTGCTTAACTGCACAGTGACTACGTGATATGTGTTTCATTCCACTGCAAAACCAAGACTAGTGAATGCCTAAAATTAATATTCATCATTCAGGTCAGCCAATTTTATCCTGCTGAGTACTTTCTGGTCAAAAGCACCTGACTCCTGAAAACACCAGTGAAAAGGCATCAGTGAGCACGGCAAAACGCTGACCTAGTCCCACATGGGGAGGAGTGCAGGTGTGGAAGGGAGGTAAAGCAAGGGGGCAGCACAGGGGTCCTCTAGAATAACCAGCAACAGACCTGCTCCAAAGTGTATTGTGCTCCTTCTCCCATGCTCAGACAGAGTTTTGCAACTGAAGAAAGCTTTTCAACTGTAAAGGTAAGTGACCAATTAAAATTTTTCATGAAGTTTACAGCAGCCACATTCGTAACCAAACATACTCTCTTGCTATCCTGAAATAAAAAGATACCTGACTCATGTTTACCATGCCTCAGTGCAACCTTACCTTTATAGTGGAAAAACAAGTTATGCTTTAAGCTCCTGTGGGCCATACCTGCTCAGAGCTGTTCTGGCTCTGCACAGCTTCATAAGGAGGAGGTGAGTCCAGAGGGCAGAACACTTCAATGCCTTTAATTCGCGCTCCATAAATATGGGGCAATGGAATCACATCAGAGCCAAGCATCCTGCAATGAACAACACCGAGTGACTCCAAAGTACGGCTTTCCAGCTGCAGAAAAACATCACCCACTACCAAGCTCCACTGGCCTTCTCATGCCAGCCCAGATTTTGGAATCTCAGCCACAGCTAATGAACTTGCAAAGAGTTGCAAGAGATTTTAC